AAAAAAAAAAAAAAAAAAATCCCCACAGCCGCCCTCCAAGACAGAAATTACTACTACCAGCCACACTTCACAGATGGGACACCAAGCACTGAGTTGTGGAACGCCACTTGCCCTGGTCACAGAGCTGGGGAGAGGCAGAGCTGGGATTCGAACTCGGGCTGAGGGTCCCGTTCTCAGACTCTCAGGGACCACTTGGCACGTAGGCAACAATCAATCATGGCTGTTTGGGGACATTGACCAGGCGGGCTCCTCTCTGCACCCCCTCAACCAACCCCGGGAACGGGGAGTCAGGACAGGAGACTGATGGGAAGGGGCGCAGGGGAGGGCCTGGGTCTCACCAGATTGTCCAGTTCTGGGTTGGAGGAGAAGAGGGGCCTCTCCGAGCGAACCTGGGAGGGAAGAGAGAGGCAGGCAGGGAAGCCTCGAGCCTCCACCCGCCCCTCCTCGCTGGCTCTCCGGGTGGGCACATGGTGGGCGGGGGTGCCCACCTGCTTGGCGAAGGCAGCGATGTCCTCGTTGAAGGAATCGGAAGAGCAGACGTCGCCGCCGGGGGGCGTCCCCAGCCCAGCGCTGGCCCCATCCCGGGGAGAGCAGGTAGCCAGTTCACATTTCTCAAAGACCAGAGCCAAGAGGGGAAAAAGCGGGTGTCTGGGGAGACAGGAAAGGAGAGAGGTCGGGGGAGAGGCTGGGGGGGTGGGTGGAGGGGCTGGGAGGGGGACAGGAGGCCCTGAGAGGAGAGGAGACAGAGACTTGTACATAGAAAGAGACACAAACAGACCCCAGGAAGTGAAGAAACAGAAAGACAGACAGGACGACAGAGGACAGGAGCCTGAGTCCGGGCCCCGCTCACCCGTAGATGTCATCCTTCTCTCTCTTCAGGCTGTCGCTGTCCAGGCCGAGGGGCAGGGGCTGAGGAGGCCGGGGCGGGCCGTAGGGCCCTGGTGCTGCGGGCACTGCCTCTGGGAAGCCAGCCAGGGCTTCGGGGCCATCTGCGATGCCTGGGTAGTGTGGCAGCTCATCATACTGGGGGAAGGTGAGAAACGAGGAGCCCCAGGGACGGGTTAGCATCCTGAGACTCCGCTGAGGAGCTTCTCCATCCTGGGACCCAGGAGATGCCCCTCTGTGTCCCAGAAACCTGCCTCTGGTCCCCAAGTGTTTGAGCCTCACCCCTTTAAGCCCTCCAGGTCCCCTGGAGCTGTCTGGGCGGGAGTCAGGACCACGTCCAGGCAGAATGCTGACATTTGGGCAGGAGGACCCAGAGGGAAAGACAGAGGGAGACACAGAGACAGAGATAGACAGCCGGAGAGAGTGGTGTGAGATGACAGAGACGGGAGAGACAGAGACAGAGAGAGAGACAGAGACAGAGACAGACGGAGAGGGAGATCGTCAGCACCAACACCTTCCACGGGGACCGCTCGCATTGCTGTCCACAAAGTACACATAGGAAGCCTCCCTGTCCGCGGTTTCATTTCGCAGCTGTCAAACAGGCGCATCAGAGTATGTCTCAACACATCACACCCTCACCACGTGAATCCACCACACACAGACACAGCCATACACACCAACCCACGTGCACACTTGTCAGTCACACCCCTATTAATACCCCCCCTACGTGCACATGCACACACACAGCCAACAGCAGGAACAGGAATGAATGCATGATTGAGACATTTAGCACACGAATGAATGAATGAACGAGGCATTTCGCACCAGGCCTGGCTGGTGCTGTGAGCACTTGTTGCCGGAGAGGGTCACTCTGCACGGCCACACAGACGCACCCCAGAGAAACACCATTACGGGGTCGGTCGCCCGTGTCCTGTCGTGACAGAACCTTGCGCCCGGGAAGCCAGAGGCAACTTTCACCCATCAGGTCAAACCCTTTCCTCAGAGATGAAGACACGGAGGCTCAGAGAGGGAGCAGGAGGAAGCTGGAACGTTCCTGCCTCCGCCCCTCGCCTGGCCAGACACCCTGGCTCGGTGGGCCCACTCTCCCCCTCTCCCTCTCCTAACTTCTCCTGCGCCCTGAAGTTGAATCCAGCCGCTCCCCGCTGCTCATGGCACACTCATCAAACACGGTCCCCACAGCCCACCCTGAACCCCCAAAGCAGGCACGCACCTCCTCCCGTCTCCATTCACATCCCTGGGGAGAGAGGCTCCCTGGGGCCAGCAGCCTGGTGAGCCCACCTCCACCCTGTCCTACTCCTAGCCCTGGAGGAGCAGGGGAGGCTTGGAACAAAAGTAGACGGAAGAGAAGGACGGAAGAGGGAAGAAAGGGGGACGGCTGAGATGGAGAAGGAAGCCTAGGGACAGAGAGGAGAGAGACGGGGGCAGAGAGGGGGACAGAGAGGA